TCCATGTTTCCAATCAATTTCACACAACCGTGCTTCTCTAAAGCTATTCCCACACCGGCTCGACTGGAATACAATATCAACTTCGCCTAGGCTTCACTCGCATCTTTTGGAAGCAAAGCTAAATGACATTCTATAGAAATGTGAGACCTCTTGGTGTGCCTGTGTCTTCTACTCACATACAGAGAATCTTGACTGACTAGGCTATGAAAACCAAGAAGATGTAGCCTCCTTTCGATGTACAGAAGTGGTCTGATCTCGCTCTCGCAACTTGGTCGTGTTGTCAGGCCGACCTGGTTGAGTGCACCTTGTCCACACTTCTCTGCTATAGTAGGCATCATAAGTCTCAGCGTCGAACCATGGGCTTGGTACATTCTCAGACGTTTCACCGCCAATCGCAGCACTACACTACAACTAGTGTCTCTGACTCACTGACGATGCCGGCGAAGCGTCTGGGAATGCACCAACTCCATGCTCCGACACTGGGAATTATGATAACTACTGTAGCAGACGAGTTTGTACAGTGTACATTCAACAAGTTCACCATGACAACAGAACAAAATGTCAAAAATGGGACCAAACCACTGCTAGACTAAGCTTATGGATATTACGAATGAGTTTCGAAATCACTGATAAAGTTTCAATAAAAGCCAATTTACATAATGAAGGAATGATAGCTGAAGTTTCCCACAATCCGATGAGTCGGCCTCTGGAGGTCATGGTAAAGTGAGGCCTAGTCACATGATTGTGGGAAAGTTCAGCCATCCGTCCTTCATCACATTATGCGACCTAGGCTGAATACATCTCAGCCTATTTCGCTTAAGTTGATGAAGGACCGCCAGTTGAATTTTCCCACAATAATATGATTAAAGCTGATATTTCATATAGACTATGTCCCACCAGCACCCCCGGCGGAATCGAACCGTGTTGGTGTAGCGTTTGATCCCTACGCGTTGACCACTAAGTCACATGGCCACGAATGCCCTTGGCTCACAGGGCAGATGTAAATGTCAAGCAACGCCAGGCATTTTTCCATACCACACTCTTTGGTGGGATTTATGCACAAAAGTCAATACAGTTTTCAGTTAAGTTGTATAGACGCAATTGGCTCAACTTAGGTGGCCCAGATCCATTCAAGCGCCCAAACACTGAGAAGATTAGACTACTCACATCGAAATTAAGTAATGTCGTCGATTGCAAGGGCCAACACACCTCTGCTTAATCGATAATCCCACTGTAGCATGTGACAATGGGAGAGGCCAGGCTTGCCTTGACCTTCGCATCTGCCATTCGACGCCATGGCACCAATGACCAGGTAGTAAAGTGTCGAATCCGGATGGGTGTGAGGATGGACCGAGGAATATGAAGAAAAAGTGGGTTTTGATGGATCTCTTGCGATGACGGTTTTGTGGAAACTTTAATTTCGTGTGAAAAATGCATTCTAAAGATATTGGCAGGTGGAGCTCACCGGAAGCCGACAGCTGGTTTGAGTTGTTTTGCAGTCGAGTTTGGCTCTAATACAAACGCAGTCCACGGGACATCTTCACTCGTTTCGGGTATGAATGGTCTGAGATTTCGTCGGTCATATGACGAACATGGTCGTCAAAAAGTCTATCAAGGGCGCCAATATGAAAGAGAACTATGCAAATCGTTCCATAAGTGTATATGCTATTTAGGATAGCGCGGGTAGTCTTCTTGGCTTAGCGTTAAAGTGAGACTTTTGCAGAAGCGAGTTCCAGGTCCGATGACTTTCGTCATGTGACGGACGAAAACTGTGCTCATTCTCACCGGAAACGGAGGAGGATGTCTCGTGGACTGCCTGCAGAACAAGGGAAATGATCGGTTATGTTGCGATGGCGGCCACCGACGAATCTCTTCATCGTACCATAATTGACTGTGTTTTTATGCAACAATGCTGCTCGCATCGAAGGAAAGTGTGCAGTGGGGGTTTGAGTAAATTGAAGAAGAAAAAATTGGCTGAAAAGAATGCGTGAATTGGTCTCAACCGAAACCGAAACCGAAGGGGGTTCGTAATGAAGTGAAAACTGGTGAATTGTGCAAAAAAGGTCGTCGGCTCACCGTCATGTGACCTTTCGATGAACATGTGCTAGGCTTTCGTCTGTCCTGTGACAGACATCAATCATCCTTTCACCAATTTCGTCTGGCCAACTTTGCATTCGAAATGAACAGCAATTTTACAACATGTCGCCAAATAATTGTGAAAGTCAACTTTTCCTCATACTTTGGAGTAGAACCAAAAAACGGCAGGTGAAGGTGCCATCCCCGGTCTTGTGTGATCACCTGACTCGCAAGGTGTGTGTCTGCAACACACGTGCTCGTCGCTCGAAGTGAAAATGAGTCGAAACGATTGCTACAGGCGATAGGAGCTGGGCTGAGGAGTGACGAATGGGAAGGATGAGAGCTGCAGTCACACTGTTTCGTGTGATGAGTAGGCCACACGGTTACATTGAATATCACATAATTGTTTAGGCTTACTTCCATTTCGAGGGCAAGTGTTGGGAGAAGAGACTCGAAGATCGCTTCCACCAGAAGACGACGGCGGTAAAGAGGAATCCGGCGTCGTCTTCCGGTGGAAGCGACCTTCGAATCTCTTCACCAAACACTTGCCCTCGAAATGGAAGTTGTGAAACAAGGGATTCCTCGAAACCCAACCTTTCTTCGAATATCACATTGCCTTAATTCCCAACTTGCAATCTCGTCCAGGCTGGACTGCAATGTTGACCTTGACTTGGTGTCATCAGCGCTTTTGAGAAGTAAGGCTGTGTGAAATTGACTGCAAATGTGGGATAAACTCATCTACCAGCCCTTCACAACCAACTGCAAACTGGTCGTCTTGCGATCTAATTGCTGCGACGTTAAGTGGGTCAAACCTTTGCCTTTTTGGGTTCAAGATTGTGTGCATTCTAATGGGAATATGTATCCTACTGACAGAGTGTGTGCGTCGTGAAATGACTCACCTGGCAACGGACCGCGGGAAACAGTGTCCTCTCGAGAGGGTTGTGCGAAGCCGGCCACAGATTGAGCACCAGCGCGTCCGGAGCCCCAGAGACCGACTCGAGTCTCGATGTTGGCGCCGGTGTTGTCGGGATCGGTGTCGAGGGGAGAAGCAGACGAAAAGGGCATGACAGGGCCGAGTCCAGCCTCGAGTTGTCAGGCTCGCCGCGAAGTCGCTTCTTCTCGGAGACGGGCGGCAACAGAGAGGTGGGGGAGCCGGCTGTTTGGCCGGAAGCGACGAGAGACCCAGACAGGCCGGGGGGAGTGGGAACGAGGAGGCGACACGAGTCGGACGAGGCTGACGAGGCTGACGAGGGTGAAGAGGGTGGGGAGGGCGAGGAGGGTGCGGCGGAGGGGAGTGAAGCGGCAGAAGAAGACGAGCCGAGACCCGGCGGCAGGGAGGATGCGTTTGTCGGGGATGGGGGCGGCCGAGAGGGTGGGGGCGTTCGAACAGTCACGGCCGGTCGACATGCCTCCAGCAAACTTCGCTTGGCCGCCAATCGCCGACGTCCACCGGCCGCCGTCTCCGTCACGACCGCAGATGCGCCCGTCTCGTAGGCATCGTTACGCACCGCCTCCAAGAATCGCCAGACACGAGCCGGAGAGCCTGCCAACGGCGACGGCGACGACGGCGAAGGCTGTGATTCTGCCGAGTTGGTCGTCAAGACGACACATCCCGTGAGCTGGGCTTTGTTACCGGAGGCGGGCGACAAGTTGGTCGGCTGGTGTCGTGAGTGCGGGAGAGTGGGGTAGTCGGGCCGGAGGACCAGGTCAGCCGGCATGGCAGGCCTGCGAGGTGGAGCCGACCCCTCGGGGGCATCTATTCGAGGGGGCGGTGGGGCGCGGACAGACTGGACGGGCGCCCGGAGACGAAGAGACGTCGAATCGGGCCAGTCCAGGCAACCGGCGTGTCGTCGAGGCATGTTGTCACAAGTGCCGACAGAGACAGACGTGGCGGCACAAGACCGATGCGCCAGCAGGAGGATGATGAAGATGAGTAAGAGGAGGAGGGGGAGAGGGAGGGGGAGGGCCCGCTGAGAACCGGTGGCCCGGCGTAGAGCATGACGAGCGGAGCAAGGCCTAGCAA